GAAGTCTTTCACTATCTTTGGAACTTCGTCTCTGCTACGCATAGGAATTACCCATGTATAGCGAGAGTAATTATCGATCGATGTAATAAAGTACTTATATCTGCCCTCAGAGATTACATTGGTAGGCCCCCATACATCAGAATACACAACATGAAAAGGAACATTTGATCTTTTATTACTTGAGTGAAAAGTTGTTCTTCATTGTTTGCTCAACTGACACGTTTGACACATGAACTCTGACACTAAACATGACTTAAATAAAACTGGAAACAAAGATTTTATTATTTCGAAAGAAACATGACTTAAATGACTATGCCACAAGAAAATTTGACTCTTATTTGACTGACTATGCAACTCTGAGGATGACACCGAGAGACCAGCTTTGTTGTCGAGAATGTAGAGACCATCCACTAGGCTTCCTCTACCAATCGTCCTCCCAGAAGTTAGTTCCTAAAAAACACGAGTCAACAAAAAATGTCACACTACAATTCAAGGAGCTTGTAACGCTACTAATTGAAAGCAAGTTTATGGGAAGCTGAGGGACATGCAATACACAATTCAGGTTAAGGCCATGGGGAAGGGACATTGATCCTTGGTCTGCAATGGAAGAAAAAGAGACATCTGCAAGTCTTACTCTATCCCTTCCTAACAAAAGGCTATAAGATTGGAATAAGTTAGGCTTACCGATCAAGTGGTTAGAGGCCCCTGAGTCAATGATCCAAGGGGAATCTGTGGGAGTGACATGGAATGCAGAAGCCATATTACCTGAAGTAGATGCAAATGAAGTAGAGGGAGTACCAGTGACTGAGCTGTCCATTTGCCGCAAGGCCCTACCATAAGATTCCAGGTGCTCTCTGAAGGGATTCATTATATCCTCCTTGGGGTCAGACTTATTAGGGTGGTCCCGGGTACTAACGGCAACTTGAGTATCTTGGGTTGCCACATGTGTTGTGCTCATTTTCTTCAAATAACCTTTACCCTGTTCTTGATTCTTTGCTGCCCACTTGGGTTTCCCGTGGATGTCCCAACAAGTGTCACGTGTATGTCGTGAACGCCTACAGTGGGTCAAACTTTATGTTACAGCTAGGGGAAAGATCGGTTATATAAGTGGAAAAATAAAAGAACCAAAGTCTGGTACTGTTGAACATGATCGATGGGATCAAGAGAACATGATTATGTCATGGCTGTTAGACTCCATGTTACCTAATGTATGGAAAATTTCATATGGGCTGACACAGCCTGTGAAATCTAGGAACAAGCCAAGGCAACCTATTCTAAACAGAGGCATTTTGCCAAGATTTATCAACTTCAAGCAGAATCATCTACGTGTAGACAAGGTGACCGTAGCCTATCTACATACTACTCAACCCTTACATCTATTTGGAAGGAACTAGACTATTATCAGACCATTGATTGGAGGAATGATGAAGATGCACGGGACTATAAAAAAATTGTCTCCCAACAGCAGGTTTTTGCCTTCTTACATGGGCTGAACCCGGCTTATGAGCCTCTTCGGGTGCAGATTTTGGGAAGTAGGGAACTTCCTTCAGTTCAGGAAGTATATGCTCTAGTCCAATCTGAAGAGAGCAGAAAAAATCTCATGAATGTTTCTGAGGGGGAGCAACCAGTTGCCCTAGCTGCAAGAGGGGGTAACACAGGAATGAAAAAGGGGGAACCGAGGAAAGGTGAAGATAAGGACAAACTGTGGTGTACTCACTGCCAGAAGCCTAAACACACTCGAGAAACCTGCTGGGAATTAGTGGGTAAGCTCAAGTGGGCAACCAAAAATCAAGACACTTCAAAGAAGCCTCCTCAGAAGAAATTTAGTTCTGCAAATTTGGCCACTCAAGACTATCAGCAAAGTAATCAAACTATTGTGTTTTCTCGAGAGCATCATCATGGTTCTGATCCCAAGGAAGAGATCATTTAGAATTGTATGGTAGGACACTCGGGCAGTTGGACAGGTCAGTTCCTACCCCTTCTACCTCATTCGCTTCTACATCAAGTAAAGGTGCTTTTGCATTTCATGTGCATACCTTTGCTCCTGAGTCACCTTGGGTCATTGACTCGGGGGCATCAAACCATATGACCGGTAAGTCAAATCTCTTTCAGACCTACACTCTTCTTTCTAGGAAGGGATAAAGTAAGACTTGCTGATGGGTCTCTATCCACTATTGCTGGTCAGGGATCTATATCTCTTCTTGAAGGCCTTGTCTTATCCCATACCCTTCATGTTCCCAAACTTCTTATCAATTTGTTATCTATAAGTAGTATTACTCGGTCTTTAAACTGTTGTGCAACCTTTTTTCCTCATTCTTGTGTTTTCCAGGATTTAACCTTGGGGAGGACGATTGGTAAAGGACATATGGTTGATGGTCTCTACATCCTAGAGAACAAAGTTGGCCCTRCGGCATCAGCTTCTGTGAGTCTTATGAGTCAGTCTGTGAGTTAGTCTACAAACAGTCAATTGTGGTTATGGCATAATCGCATTGGTCATTTGTCCTTTGAGTGTTTGAAAGTTATGTTTCCTGAATTGTTCAAGTCAGTGTCTCTTACTAGTTTGCATTGTGAAACGTGTCAGTTGAGTAAGCATTGTAGAATAACTTTTCCATCAAATAATAAAAGATCTACTTTGCCTTTCAATATTGTCTTTTCTGATGTTTGGGGCCCTGTTAACATACCTACTGAGGGTGGGTACAAGTACTTTATCAGCTTTATTGATGACTATTCAAGATACATGTGGCTATATCCTATGCACTCGAGAGAAGTACCCAATATTGTGCAAGATTTCCATCGCATGGTTTTCACTCAATTTCATGTTGAAGTCCAAATTTTCCAATCAGATAATGCAAAGGAGTATTTTCATCATGACTTAGCTGAGCTTTTCTCTTCACATGGATCTCTTCACAGAAGCTCATGTGCCAGAACACCACAACAGAATGGAGTTGCTGAAAGGAGGAATTGCCATCTCCTCGAAGTTGCCCGTAGTATGATGCTTCACATGCATGTTCCAAAATGGTTTTGGGTTGAGGCTACAATGGTCGTAGCTTATGTTATTAATCGTATGCCATCACGCCTTTTGCAATACAAGGCCCACATCAACTTCTCTTCCCTCAATCCCCTTTATTTTCCATTCCTCTACGTGTGTTTGGGTGTAAATGCTTTATTCATGATCTATCTCCTAATCGGGGTAAATTGGACCCCAAATTTGTTCCGTGTGTTTTCTTGGGTTATCCCTCTTCCCAGAAGGGCTACAAATGCTTCAATCCAGTCACCTCTAAGTACTTTGTATCTATGGATGTGTCCTTTTTTGAGTCAAAACCCTTCTTTCAAGCCTCTCCTCAGGGGGAGAATAGTGTGAAGGAGGAGAGGCAAGCTCCAGCACCTCAAATCCCTCTTCCCCTTACTCTTGACTCCTCTCCATTCCGTGTCTTCTTGAGACGCCGTAAAGGACTGCTGAATTCAAAGGCTGTGGAGCAACTTGAGACTATACATCCAACACCTTCTGACTCCTTGAAGGAAAATCCAAGTACCCTTGTTCCCTTTGATATGACTGAACCTATTACTATTGATGATCCTACTAATGATCTTGATGTCCCAATTGCTCGTAGAAAAGGGGTTCGATCATATACTACTAAGCATCTTATTGCTCAGTTTTTATCCTATGAAAACATTGCTCCCACATTTCGTGCCTTTTTGACTGCCATTGATTCCGTCTCTGTTCCAAAAGTGTTGCAGAAGCCTTATCTATACCTGAATGGGCAGAGGCAATGAAGGAAAAAATTAKTGCTCTTCACAAAAACAATACCTGGGAGTTGGTGAATCTTCCCAAAGGCAAGGAGCTAGTGGGATGCAAGTGGGTATTCACAGTAAAGCATAGATCAGATGGGTCGGTTGAAAGGTATAAAGCCAAGCTAGTTGCAAAAGGGTATACACAGGTGTGTGGGGTTGACTATGCAGAGACTTTTTCCCTATTTGCTAAAATGAACACTATCCGGACTATACTATCCTTGGTTGTTAACTTTGATTGGGAGCTCCACCAACTGGACATCAAAAATGCTTTCTTAAATGGGGATCTGGCAGAAGAAGTTTACATGATTCAGCCTCCTAGGTTTGTAGAACAAGGGTGTGAAGGGAAAGTTTGCAAACTAAAAAAATCTTTATATGGTTTCAAACAATCCCCAAGGGCCTGGTTTAGCAGATTTCACTTGGCTTTTACAGCAAATTGGGTTCAAGCAGTGTCAATTTGACCATACTCTATTTGTTAAGAGAAACCAAAAGAATGTTGTGGTATTAATTGTCTATGTTGATGACATTATTATTACGGGGAATTGGGACTTTGAGATTAAAAAGGTCAAAGAATCCCTTGCTATGCAGTTTGAAGTGAAAGATCTGGGACAGCTACGTTATTTCCTTGGTATTGAGGTTGCCCGCTCAAAAAGGGGCATCTTCATTTCCCAAAGGAAGTATGTCCTAGATCTTTTGCTGGACACAAGAAAGTTATGAGCAAAACCTGTAGACTCTCCTATTGAAGAAGGCCATCGGCTTAGTGATTGTACTAGAGAACCAGTGACAGATATCAAGAAATTTCAGAGGTTGGTAGGAAGACTTCTCTACCTATCAATGACTCGACTGGATATAGCTTATGTTGTTGGTGTCCTCAATCAGTTTAAGCATGCAACAACATCCTCCCATCTAGAGGCAGCTGAGAGGGTACTCAGATATCTAAAGAAGTATCTAGGAACTGGGTTACTTTTCAAGAAGGTGAAATTCCTTTTTGTCTCTTTGGAGATTATTTGTTTTAGGAAATTATATTTTCCTTATTCTGAATTAAGATTTACTAAATCAATCAGATTGACAAATCATGGTAGTGAAAATTACCTGATGACAAGATCTCTCTCTCCAATTGAGCAGAAAAGCTCTATAACAGAAAGATGGGCATTGATTAGTCTTTAAAAGAAAAGGAGAAAAAGAAAATAGATGCAGCTACTGAGTTAAATACTTTCTCTTGTATAATCAATTCAAGGATAAAAATCTAATAAACTAGAATTTTCATGTGAACAAGAAATAATCTGGGTGAAAAAAACAGTATGCTCACAAATGCAGAGCCAAAAGCTTCCACTGCACGGAGTCGCTCTTCATGCATATCTTCTGTCATAATTGGTGCATCCTATGATTGTTTTAGAGAGGCAGATTAAGTTTTGATATTTTTGAATAATGATATTAACAGGATGCAAAATATCAAGAAGGGACCATAGTCAATTGATCCTAATTAAAACCTGAGTATATGGAGCATGCATCCTCTCGTAAGAATTCAAAAGCATCATAGACCCAAAAACACCAGATGAACCCCTCCTGGTACATTCTTCTGGTTTTGTATTTGCAGATGCCATTACATTTCCAGGCTCAGCACCAGACCTTGTTACAGCTTTCCTACCACCGCGTTGACCTTCTGTTCTCAAAGGGCTGCAGCAAGAACAGAAAGTTATGGAGGAACAAGACAATGAGGGAAAAGAGCAAAATTTTAAACATAAAGAAGTAGATCAAAACATAAAGGCGTGCTATATGGTGCATAAGAACAAAGTGAACGCCTCCAGCATCAGTCAGAAACAAAAGAAACTTTGGCTAATGTGATCACTATTTAAAAATTATACATTTCATCAATGGACAAAACCTTTTGGAAGCCAAAGAGGAAAGCCGGGAAGCAAAACAAATGAACCAGATAGAAAACAGTTTGAGAAATCAGCTCATTTCCTTATATTTCTTGTTGAGTTTTCCATTTTTGCAAATACCTACATCAAACATAGCTGCAAAAACTTTCAAACACATTTTAAAGGTTCAATAATTTAATGTCACGTCAATCAATGCTTACTTACCCAATTACATAAAAACAATGATTTGATCTCCATGTATGGAAACAACCAAACAATAATATTTTACTACTAATACCTCTAAAGCTCTTCTTATTTTTCACCTCTGAATCCATTATTTTCTTGAGTTTCATGGTTTATCAACCACCTCTTTGAAATAACTCCATGACATTTAGAAACATCTCAGGCTTGCATAATGTATTACACAAATACACTGAGGTCCATGTCTCATTCTCTTTTATCCTTACCAGAGGACAAACAAATAGAATGAAATAAAGTGCATAATTACACTTAAAACGAGCTAAAATATTAAAGAAAAAGCATTTGAGAAACTAAATGATGTTTATATGCAATGAGTTACATTGACCATTTACCTTGTGTTGTTCATCGTTATTTGGTTACTCTGACATAACAATTTTGGAAGTGTGAATTATTGCTGCTTTATAATCCCTAAAGAACTGATAAATTTCTGATTATCTTATTATGTTTCAAATGATTTAACAATTTTTACAATATTACAAGATTCTAAGAATTTTACACATGTTTCCTATTTCTAATGACTGCCATTTTCGTTGATACAAACATTTGGAACATTGGTAGAAAGTTCGCATAAAAAAAAGGGTATTAAACAAGGAAGTCTTTCAAGACCATATATTTCGTCCAATATCTTGAAATTGTAAACAGAATGTGGTTCTCAAGTGCTTACTTTACCTATCATGTTTCACATCAAACTTCTTTGTAGAATTCCGCATTTCAGTTTGGTCTTCAACAGCCTGACAATCTTCCTGTGTTCACAAGTTAAATAATTAACCTGCACCTTGCATTCAAAAAGGGTTAATTACTTAAACCTCCCCTGGGTTTAAATTATTCTTGCCTACCTTGATAGAGGAGGATCCAGTTTGTAGGTGACACTATTTTCATTATAGAGTACAACTACGGTTCATTTCCGAATATTTGCTGCATGTTAAATCAAGATTTCAACCAATCGCGTTAAAGACATTACATGGTCTACTTTTCATTCGTTCACTTTCACAAGGCATACCTACTATCAATTAATAAAGCTTACCTGTTACTGATAAAAAAAAGTGTACCTATTATCAAGACCTTAACAACGTTAAAGATGTCAGCTGTGACATGCCATTTTATCACTGGTTCACATTTTTTGCTTCACAGTGCAGTTCACACACCATAGATTTTGCCTTTATTTTATTGCCCCCATACCCCCAATTGACAAACCATTTAATAAAATTACCTTCTATATTTACTATTTTTCATTGCACTCTGATTTGACAGTGTGTGGTCAAAGTCATACTATATTATATTCAAAAATCCAACTACTGATCCTTTTCTAAAGAACACATTGATTTGGTCTTTCCAAGTAATGTGCCAAGGTCTAACCATTTGTGCTATCCAAGTGGTGTCATTGACATAAAAAAACTGACATAGACCATCTAATATGGGTTCCAAGATATAAGCCATAACTCCTAACCATTGAACAGGAGAGTCCGAGCAGCATACAAAATCCAGCCTAAAAGACTATACCATAGAGAAGGGTCATCCATGTAGTGTGACAAGACCTTATTTTGGATTTTATCAAGTGTGTGCCATAATCCAAGCATTGATTTGAATCATCCTAGTGGTATGCAAATAAATTATATTGATCAATCATCAAGGCCACCCAAGCCATCTGCCACGATCCAACTTTTGATAGAATTGTCCAAGTGGATGGAATGTTCCCAAGTGAGCTATGATTTAGCTTAAAGCTTCGACTTTTTCACTATTTTACACATTTTTTCAGAACCTCATTCATCCATCATTTTGGTGTAACTAAATTATTAGAGCACAAAATGGAGCTGGTCAGGTTGAGATCTACTCTATCGAGAGCGAAGGATGAGTCCGAGATCTACTCTATCGAGAGTGAAAGAAGAAGGTTTGATGGAAGAACAGAGAAGTGTAGAAGAGTTAAGAAAAAACAAGGAGGAAGGAGATAGTGGAACGGAGCTTTTAGGGAGCAAGGAGGAGCCAAAGGATGACAAGAAGTCGAAGAACCAGGAGCTGGGGAAGGAAGAAGGAAGAAAGGGTGATGTGGCAGGGGCAACATTAAGAGAGAGCCAAGTGGAGAGTATGGAGTTAATGGGACGGTGAGAGAGGTCCACTTAGCAGACGATTATAATGGTGTGTAGAAGCCCAAAAGTTGGGTGAAAGGAAAGGGGGAAATTAAGAAAACAGGCAGTTGAAGGTAAACAATTGAGAGAAGATAGGAGTGGGGTCCACTGTTTTGAGAGTTTTAGTAGGAGTTTTAAAAGAACAAACCGGCATCAGAGGTTAAAAGTGTTTAAGGGCATCGTCGGAAAAGAAAAGTTAGGAAAAAGAGAATTAGGAAAAAGATTTCATGTTTAGGGAACTCAAGGGACGAATGGATCTGGGTTGTTACGAGATATGGAGAAGAAAAAAAGATCTAGTCGCTCAACAACAGAGAAGTCAAGGATTCAGGGAAGCTCAATGCCAATTTAGAAGAGCAGCTGCTAAAAGTATCGTCAGTGCTGGAAGAGGAAGTCTTAGATTAAGCCTCCAAGCTCTTTGTTGCAATGATTGATCCTCTTTCGACCAGATTTGTTTGCCGGTTGGCCTCCAGTTTCAAAATCCTGGTTATAGGGAGGGAAGCGGAGATAACCAGGTGGATACTAGTGCGGAGTTAGAGAGCTCGAATGAATGGCCAGATAGGATCAAGAACTCTGGAGATCATTGCTAGCCTGAATTCTGAGTTAATAGGTTTGTAGGTGAATGTTGAGGAGGTAAAGCCGCAAGAGCTTAACTCCAAACTAGGTTGGGCTGATTTTGCGCTGAACAATTGCACTGCTCTGGCTGAGGCTCAGAGCCAAGACCCTATCAAATGGGTTACCGAAAATGGGGTTTGACAAGGCAGAGGAATCAGCGTTGATAGGAATTAGAGAGAACATTGAGGCTGGTTCAAGTGCTTTGGAAATAGTTGCATGCCTAAATAATGAGGTAAGTTCGATTCCCCTGTGTTTTAAGAATACAGGAGGGAACTAGTAGGAAAAGGAAGAAGCGGGGACATTGGGGGGGGGGGCAATAAAAGAAAGAAAAAGATACAATCTTTAGAAGATAGTGGAGAGCAACAAAGCAGGGTGCATATCAGAAAAAAGAGGGTGTGCGGTCAAGGAGACAAGGAGTAGGGGAATGGGAGGGGGGAGAGAGAAAGAAAGAGAGATCCCGAAAGTGGGCTTAAAAGGGGGGATTGCGGCGGAGGTGGGGTTGGGGGAGAAAGAAAATCCAATATAGAGAGAATCAGGGGAGAAGATGGTGGACAAACAAGTGGAAGTGGGAAAGTCGCTTGGCCTATTCTTCTTGGGAGGGAAGAGGGTGGTTAGGAGGGCAATAGAACAGTTCGAGAGAAAAAGAAGGAAAGGATAAAGGGCTTGACAAGAGAGTGGTAGTTGGTCAGTAGGAGAGGTAGTGAGAGAGAGGCTGTTTTTCAGAATGTTTTGAGCAGTTTAAAGGAACAAAAGAGAAGGAAATTAGTGGAGAGGGGGGAAAGTTTGAGAGGCAGGAGAAGAGTGGGAAGAGGTCCGGGGTGAAGAATAGTGAAGGGTTTTTTGGAAGAAATAGTTAGTGGGATTGAATTGGTTCGTGGCTGCTCATTTGGAATTTTCCTCCTAGCCAGGATGCAGAGGAGGGTTGATGGTCAGAGGAATTTGAAGCTGCCTTTCTTTTTCTTGCTGGATTATTTGGATGGTGCAGGAAGAGAAATCTTTTTGGAGCCAAGGATCAAAAGCTGGTCTTGTTATGTTTTCTAAGGTCAAGTGAGTCAAGTCTGATGAAAGTTTATGGGAGGGATTGGGTTTTAAAATTTGTATCGTGGATAATTGAAGTTGGGTAGCTTTTCTTGTTGTTGTTAGTGTGGTGATATCTTATCACCCTCCTGGATTGTACTCTTTTTCATTTTAATGAATTTTTATTTTACTTTTCAAAAAAATTATAAAATAGACATTAATAAACTAAAACATTCATTTTGTATATTTATATACTAATTTCTTTTTATTATTTTCTTATTTTTTAGGGTTTATCAACACAAGCATTACTAACTACTGTATTGAACCTTCAAAGACTTCAAAACCTAAAGCCAATAAGGAAGAACTTAAAATTTTGTCTAATTAACACATTTTCTTCTTCTTTCACCTTTTCTTTTCTTCTTTTCCTATAACAAAATTAGGGGTTCAGCCCCTATATTTTTTGAAATTTCTTTTCTTTCTTCTTTTTCTTCTCATGAACATATTGATTTTCTATACTTTAACATGAAGTTTATACTTTTTCTTATGAAAATTATGGATAATTATTAAGGAAATATAGTTATGGAACCTTTTTTTGGTATCAATAGTTACAAAACCTAGGGAACTACCCTAGGATGTATGTTTTTTTTTTTTTTTTTTTTTACTTAAAACACCTAGGTGACAAAGCGCCCTCCTGTCACCTAGCCTCACCTTGGCGCCTTGAAAACTATGCAAGCAGCTTGTCATTGTGGTTGAACTTTACTCCCAAATCCCAAACTTAATGCAGATACACAACCAGCTGGAACTTCTCAACCTCAGTTTCCACTCTTTCAATTAATCCTTCTTGAAATCCCGAAGAAAAAAATAACTTGAATTTCATGGAAGGAGCTATTTTGTCAGTCCCATCGAACAAACTGTGCTACTAAAGCGTTAAGATTTACATTATCTTGATATCATATAGTTGTATTGAACTGATTCTTGGTCAAAATTTCATTAAAAATCAGCTTAGAAAAATTCAAATAATCCATTTTGGGACAGAAATCAAACAAAGCAATCTTAATGAAAGCATTCAAGTCAAACCCATAATTTATTACAAAGGAGGAATTTATCTTCCTTAATTACTTTCCAATGAGGAAGAGCACAACCAGAGAATGTGGCAATGCAAAAAAAAATGGTTCTATGGCTCCCCTATTCATGTATAGTTTGGAGTAAATATGGACAAAAAGAATTAGAGATTTTGATCTGGTAAAGAGCTGAGAATGAGTATAAACAATAGAATTTAGTGATATTTTGATGAAGAGTGGAGTGATTTGGATTTTACTCAAATGGCTATGGAGACTTGGAGCTCAGAGGTTTGCTTAACAGCAAAAGGTGGTAGTATGCAAGTCTGGCACAGCCAGGTTCTAGTGGGATTCAAAACAGGTCTCTAATACTTAAGGAGTGTTGTGTGGAATATGATAATGTCTTCTCACTAAACTTATGCTGCTCTCACAAGATTTCTCCTCTCCATCCAAATCCCTCCATATCTCTCTTCCAGTAAGGTCCAAACTACAACATTCCTTGTGCATTCCCACATTATTTTACCTCTTTTTCTTGGCAGATTAAAGAAAGATGCTCTAAACAAACTCTCCACATCTGTAGGAAATTCCTCTGGAGAGAAAAATCAATCCTAAATGCTGAAAGTAAATAGGTAGGAGATTTAAGTGGTAATTAGTTTCTCAAGTTGCTTTACAAACAAGACAAATGTGTTGGGATAAAAATCATTTGGTCTCCTCTTCTGAAGGATATCACACATATTGATCTTCAAGTGAAAAACCTTCCAACAGAAAGCCCTTATTTAAGTGGCACCAGTTTGCACCAAATTTCTTTATTGACCAATGTCCTATTTCCAAAAGACCACTTCTAAATAGAGAGTAGAATATATTTCCCTCGAGTCAGTTGGAAGCTACCTTGATTTGCCCAAGAAACTTGGATGTCAAATGGTACTGCATGCATGTTCTGATGGCATATCCACCATGAAATCCTTTTATGAGGTCATCATAAGAAATTAAATCGATTGGCTAGTAACAATATGGATATCATTCTTACCATTGACCATCTTAAGAGCATAACTTTTAGGATGGAAAATTTTTACTTTATGTATAACCATAAAAGATAGTAGACCAATTATTTACACATTGTTAGGTAGCTATTATTAATTTGATGTCATACTTCTTTGGGTTATTCTAAAGATTAGTATTTCGCCCTGCTTTGCCCAATGAAATGTTTTCTTCATGGCCTTCTGTGATGCATTGGGGATTTGGAGACAAAAAAATAGAAGAATACATGATAGGAAGGTCAGGAAGCGTAGGAGGCTACATTTGTACAGTGGATCACTTACTAGTGTTGTTAGATTTCGAAGTAGTGGACAGATACCTGCAGAAGGGTGCCATATCATTTTTTTTGGTACGCATGTTCTTGGGGCTACATAACGGGGGTATCCCCATACCCTTAACCCCCCACCCCAACCCTGGTGGCAGCAGGATTTGATCCCGAGTCTCCACTACATACATCTGCAGATCCCACCAACTGAGCCACCATCAGTTGGTTGGGTGCCATATCATATTGGGTATTTCAAATTTTAGTGTAAAATTCTATGTCTGACACTTTGTCCAGCTGTGGCTTTACCATATATGGGTAAAATATATTATTACAGATGATGTATAAATTCTAAAAGGTTTATGTGGCTTTCTATATAGTCTCAATATGGGAGACATTTACTCTTTCTCCACCATTACATACTAGCAAAACATGTATTTCCATTTTAATAAAATTTTTACTACAAAAAAGAGATGGATTTTACTCCATTTTTTATGATAAGAGCACAAATTTGATTTAGTTGTTTGAGGTGTATCAAAGGTTAGGTCTGTAACCAGTCTACTCCTCCCAAGACCCCATATAACTGGGATTAACATTGAGTAATGGCCTTCTTAGGCATACAAAAGAATATATTAAGTCTCTAGAAAATTTTCTTGCATTTCTTTGTGATGGGGGTTTAGTCATGAACTTAGATCCTAACTGTTGGAAGAAGGGGGAGGAGTAACTGAGCAAAATTTGGAAGTTGGAATTTGGAGAGAATAGTTTCAATAGATAGATTGTCAAGATCAAGTTTTCTAGGAATTTCTTAGTCATGTTTCCATCTATATCAAGGACTACAGCTACAGTAGGTCAACAGAAAGGAGGGATAATTCCAGAACACGCTATTTTAGGAGAGAGTAGAGTAATCAAAAAATCACGGTGAAGTTTATCATGCTTCAAAATTTCAGGGGAGAATTAGGTAATTATCCCTAAAATATAATGACAATTACAAAATATGGTGAAATATTTCATTTGTGTGGCATGATATTGGAGAAAATAATGATATTGTTCAAAATTTACCACCTTAATATGACCAGAAGCATGATTTTTTCTTCCAGGGCTTTCTTGATGATTGTTATTCAGTTGTCCCTTCTTCTCAATGCATATCGTCAACTGAACAACAAATCAATGTAAGTGGAAAAAAGTTGGTCATGGCACCATCCAGAATCACAAAAGAATACTGTTCAAGAGCAAACCTCACCAACTATGAATTAACTCATGGAATGGATAAATGTACCATATATGCATTAATAGATACAATTATATTGCAAGATTCACCAAATAATGTGCCATAAAAAAAAAAAAAGCTAATAGCAGCAACCACATGAACAGTTCACTTCCATGTCCATGGTAGAAATTAGAAGGATTTCTTTAAACCCATGTTTAATTTTATTTTCCAAGGACCAGATAATGTAAGAAACCAAGCAATACTCCCTGATACATGCACAGGAAAGCATTATATCAAGGTAATCATTCATGATCTGGAATTGAGAGCTGCTAAGCATTAGATTTTAGGAGGAAGCCTGATGTAGTCTGCACTAGGCTTAGGTAATGTTTATCCAAGGGATTACAAGTTCGGCATTTCCGGAAAATTTTCAATCAATTAGTGCTTTGAAATTAGTAATGGACGAAGATAGTGGAGCACACTGTTTAAAAGCCACTTTTACAACAGATTAAAAAATAAAAGGACAGTGCCCCTATACAGCTAAGTATATGTATAGACTTGACAGCTTATTTACAATGTGTGCAGCAAACCTCCCATTTAAGTCCTATAACATTGGTTCCATATAGAGAGAGAATTTCACATGGTGATCAGGAAGACCCTTAACAGTAAGGCAGCTCAGACAAAGAAACTTCAGCATGGCCAATACTATAGATATGTCATCTGCTAAGTTGTCTAGGAACATGGTGTACATGTTTTTTACTTTATAACATAGAAAAAGACACTGGAACAGCTGAAGCATTGGCAAGACAAGGTGCTAGCAGGGGATCACTTATTTTTGGGGACCACTAGCGGGGAACAGGAAAATGTTGCATCCTAATTAAAGAAAAGATAGTGGGGTGGGAACCTGTCCCCTATTGTTTCTGTGAAATGCATGTTGGCACAACTATCTTTGTACATACTCTATATTTTTATTCACAAATTAATAAAATCTTCAAGTTATCCACAAAAAAAAGGACACTAGGGATTTCTTCTTCATCTTCCAGGTAGATAGAGAATCCCATCTTGGCCTCAAGAGTTAATGCAATCCTGGCAATCTTTCCTTTTTCAAGACAATCAGTGTATTTATAGAATGCTACTCCTTTCAGTCTTTCCAAGAAAAGGGAATGGAAGGGATAAGATCATTTATGAAGGTTCAGCATGTTCATACTATTTGCAGAGATATTAGCTTATTTGTAATGGACTTGGTATGGTGTTACAAAAATTGATATGAAACAAATTAGATTCAACAAGGATCTATAGGAGTAAGTTTTTTAATTTCAGTACATATAATCATATTTTGAATAAAGCCTGTCTCTCTCCTATACTTGAATTCTATGACTTTATCTGACGTAAATTAAAGAAACCTTCTAGTCACCAATCAAAAGTTAGGTGTTACTAATTTCCAGGATCCACGTTTTTTTGTATGAGTAAAACCAGGATCCACTTTGTATGAGTGGTAATCCTGTAATGTCAATTTCTACCTTACCTATACACCAGAACATTTCCAAATTTCTTGATTTCAGAATCTTAAAAAGCTTTTATCGTTCACTATTCAATGAGTTGAAAACCATGGAACTAGATTTGATTTGAGCAAGTTATGGTCTTTTTCTTTTAGACAGGGAGTACTTGACTTTCTACTTTAGTTTTATAAATTATAGTGGTTATTTTGTCACTTCTATTTCTTTTTTTTTTTAATTTAGTTCTTTTAGATGAATATTTTCTTACAGAAAAGTGTTACCAAAGGATTGTAAGCCATATTTCATTGAATGAAAGTTTTGCTTTTTGATTTTTGTCAAGGTCCACCTTGTATGCTTTGTATGACTTCCTCCATTCTGTGTTTGGGTGGCAGGAAGATTTTTCTTAATGAAATTTCTCTTTTATCATTGATCCAAAAAAAAATTCCTTTTGGTTGTTAATTTCTCCAGGACCTCTTGAGATTGCTAGGAATTTTACCACAGAGATTCACTTTGTTTGTCATCATTAACAGTGTAAAGAATTTCATTGAAAGTGAGAAGGATGAGTACAATGCAGACCACCACTGGCCAGAAATTAATTAATAGAAAGCACACAATCGCCTTTGCTACATTTTGATCCCTTGGTCTAGCTCCAGTTATCACACCCTCAACTCTTGATTGCCCTGGATTACCAGCAACATCCATCAAAATTTAATTTGAAGTGCCTTGTTCCAGGTTTACTTTGATTTCCATCTAACTTATTTTCAATAAAATTTCCTTTTCTGTTATTATTTAAAAAAAAAAAAAGCAAGTCACCAAAAGTGATTTTAATAATCTTGCACCCTGTTAGAATTATAATGGATTTTGTCACCAAATAGCACCAAACTATTAAGTACCTTGATCTATGGATGTAACTTCTTCCTAATGCGTTAAAACAATTTGAGGAAATGGTCCAGTTCAGCAAAAAATGCAAAGTTGTTTTGTCCATTGAGCATGAAATATTGAAAGTAATCAGTTCATAACATCAAACCTATAGGCCAAAACTTTCTTTAACAGGAAAAATTACAATGTTTCTTAGTATTAAGCAAAAAAGAGTGAACCTCTGTAATATATTTGAGATGACAATTTAACTACAAATTCATTGTACTACTTTATGTGAAATTGTTATACACCAGAAGAATAAGACTGGAATTTTGAAATGCATTCATTTCAGTGCACAGAAAAACTTAAAGTTCAGTTAAGCCAAAGAAAACATTTCAGTTTAATTAAGTCAAAGAAATGAATGTGGATCCAGGTATCAGCAAAGTTAAAGAACCTTTCAATATAGAAGAGAAGATTACCATTTGCAGTTTCTGGTGAATGAGACATGTTGACAGGTCAATAGCACCATTGGTTAGCATTCGGGGCAATGGTTGTGACTCCTCCCAGTACCAACGAACTTCTCGAACAAATTCTACCCAAAGCACTGCTATGGCTAATCACAAAAATTTTAAAAAAATGTCAAGATGATATTCACTCTATTGTATTTTCTTATTATATATTGTGCTTTTGAGAAATGCACATGCCCTGATTTTTTTTTTTTTTGTGCAATTGTATAATCTCAGGCTGGCAAGCATGAGAATGTCGTTATGAGTCTGAGAGCAGCCAATTTGTGTAAAAAGATGCCAAATGTCTTATACAAGACCCATATTCCATAAATTACCCAAAGCTCTGCTATGTCTAAACACAAATTTAAAAAAAAAAAAAAAAAGTTTGTCTAGATGATATTCACTCTATTTTATTTGCTTATTGTATAATGTACTTTTCAGAGATTCACATGCCCCTTTTTTTGCAATTGTATAATCTCAGACTGACAAGCATGAGAATGTGGGTATGAGTCTCAGAGCAGCCACTCTAAATGTCTTATACAAGATCCATATTCCATAAATAACCCTATGTAATAAACACATGGCAGTCATTGAAAGGAGAAAAAAAATCACATTTCTTCATACATACCACGTATATTGCAGCTGCCAATCCAAAGTGCATGCAAACAAAATTGGGCAAAAAGTGAATCTAGAGGTGCGCCTTTAATAGCACGAGAATTCTTATGCTCACCCTTGACATAATCTGAGGGCTGCACTCCTGTATCTGAAACAGGACTAGTTATCAAAGAACAACAGAGTAAGAAATGTGGATATTCCCACATGCATAAATCCTTGTCATGACAAATAAAAGTGTTGTTCTCCTCCCATGATGAAAAATAGTTTTATCTTATTAGAGATCTCAAAATTCAGAAGTCCCATACTCTCTCATTGGTTCAAAAAGGTATAGAGACTAAGCTCAATAAACAAGCCAGATGATAATCCTCATCACTATTTCATTTTTCAATTGAAAGATGTAATACATTGAAAATACAGTTCTTGTTGCCAGAAAACAAAGGTCAGATTAAATGATGAATAAAATAATTGTTTTGTAACATAGAAGTAAGAAACATTCGAGAGAAGTGATCAAACAAGGGGAGATAAAAGAAAGAATAAACAGATGTTGGAACTCAAAAGGTCAACATGATCAAACATGGAAAATCCAACCAAGAGAAAACTGGGAATAAATATCAATGTAGTACCCATTGGAAAAGAAAAGCAGAATGAAATACCATCATGAAAAATATCTTTGAGTACACGATCCAGAACTGTTGGAGGAGGTATTGCTGTGGAGGACTTTAAATTATCGGAACTTGAGCTTTCAACTGTCACAACATATCAAGAAGCAAGAAACAATGGGAACAAATCTTAAAAGACCTGATCTTCATCAATTAGAAAGACCATAAAACCTAGATAGAGTAACAGTCTTAAAACCTGATATAAAATCTTCCATAAACTGAGCCTCAAAGGACATTTCCAATGCACTTACTAAAAGGCGCAATTGTGAAGAAAATCCAATTGTATTTCCTTCAGATTCATCGCTTCTGAAGAGAGGAAGAAAATAGTTCAAGTTTCTATTATATTTAAAACCAGTACACCAAAATGAATTAAGCAACAGCAAACAAAAAGATACATCTCTCAGATGAAAATAAGGAAATCAAGATTGTTATTTTTAGGCTCAGTTTGGAAAGAGTACGGACACAAATTTGTACAGTGCAAAACCTTGTATAGTGTATTGTAAACCTTGTATTTGCACTGTACATATTTGTATTCATACTCTTTCCAAACTGATCCTTAGGTGAAACCACAAACTTATTCTACTTCATCAATGAACCTCAGCAATAATAACCAATACTTAGCCCCAACAATTCCTAGGAAAAAAATAGGTGTTCTGTTATGCTTATGCTTGAGGTTCATGTCATTAAATCAAAGCATTTTTTTTTGTTCTTTCTTGAAAATCAAAGATTTTAGTGGTGGAAAAGATATAGGGCAATCAATATAAGACTTTTACACATTTCTAAGAAAAATTTTACATTTTTTAATCACTAACCAGATCAAATAGCTCTGTTAAATAACAATCTAATTTTACGAAAGTATCTATTACATTTATGCTCAATCTTTTGAGGCACCAGTTGAAGATTCAAACATAGGGCTGTCAATGGGTCAGATCCACCCGACTGAACAAATTGTATCGGTTCTGGTTCCATGGTCTATTCCGTGGGTTGGTTCGGGTTCCAGGTTTTGTACCCCGATTATTATTGGATCAGGACTGGTTTTAGCTGTCCCAAACCAATTCAGACTTGAACCAGTTATATATAATACAATATCTTATATAAATATAGAATATTATATTATACCACTGTTGGAATGTTAATTTTATTTCTTATGTTTGTATTCTGCTGAGTTAGGGTCCGTTTGGACTAGTTAAAGTGGTTTTTTTCTTTGTTTTTTGTACTGTAACTTAAGTAGGGGCATAAGGGTCCTTTTCCTTTTAATTATGGTCGCCCTATATATATTAATATGAACTGGCACCGCCAGCTATAGATGTTGACTCCAAAACACTCTCTTCTCTTCTCTCTTCTCTTCTTTCTTCTCTCCTCTCTCTCCTCTTCTTCTTCCTCTCTTCTCTTCTATTCGGCTGTTAATATGGTATCAGAGCGGTTCTGCTAGGCCTGTGAGCAGATCGAACAAGTTTCCACTTCCTCAACTTGCTGTCTTCTTCAACTTTGATAAAAAAGGACAGACCTACGACTGGTACAGATCCTTTTAATATTATTTTTTCTTTTATCTTGGTCGTGTACCAAAAAAAAAAAAAACATATGAATCCAGACTGCTGAATTCCTTCTGAGAAGTTGTGAGGTTTGAACCTCTTTTTTTATGGATCGTGTGTTCCCATATCTGAAAATACAGATCTGTAGGTCGTGGATGACCTGATTTTTTAACCCTTGTGGTGTGACTGTACTGGTTTATGACCCCTCCTAGCAGTCGATGTGTTTGACTGGTCTGGAAGTTGGAGTGTGACTGTTAAGACAGTTCAGCACTGAGATCAACCTAAAATCTTGCCTTTTTTCAACAATCTAAGCTGGTTTGTGGTCAGACTGTGTCCAGATTGCAATGTGTGCATGTGGGCTTCATCCTTGGTGTGTTTCTAGGACTGCTTTTTTAGTGATAGGAGGGATCATAAGGTGTGTGTAAGATCTGAAAAGTGTTTGAACCATGTCCTCTGAGAATTCTGCAACTTCKGGAATTTCAAGGAGATCAAAATGGAATGAGTGGGTTGAAGGAAGTTAAATGCTAGAAGAAAGAAAAGAAGTGGTAGAGAGAGCGTGGAGGTGTTTGTTTTAATTTATGCTTTAGTTTAAACTTGTATTTTTTGTTTTTTAACAATCAATGCCATGGAACTATTAAAGTATATCTTTGGGTAGTAACTTTAATTTTATTCTCAAAGCAAAATCTTTCTATTTGTCGAAAAAAAATTATCAAAAAAAAAGGAATGAGTGGGGGATGATATGAGTTTCCCCATGGCTGTAATCCCCTTTGATGGACTGAACTATCTTGAATGGTCTAGGGGAATTAAACTTTATATTACTGCTAGAGGAGAAATTGGGTATATTAATGGTAAAGTGAAGGAACCAAAGACTAGTAGTGTTGAACATGACAAATGGGACCAAGAAAATAGTATGGTGATGTCATGGCTCTTGGTTTCCGTGCTTCCACAAGTAAGGAAGACTTTTATGTGGGCTGAAACAGCTTGTGAAATATGGGAACAAGCAAAATCTACTTATTCATAACAGAGACACTATGCAAAGATATATCAATTACAAGCTGAATCCTCCACTTGCAAGCAGGGGGAGAGGAGTCTCTCGGTGTACTGCTCAAATCTGACATCAATTTGGAAGGAACTGGATCATTATCAAAATGTGAATTGGAAGTGTGATGAGGATGCAAAGGCCTACAAATCACTTGTTTCCCAACAACGGATATTTGCTTTTCTTTTGGGGCTGAATCCTACATATGAATCCATGAGGGTACAAATCTTAGGAAGTAAGAACATACCTTCAATTCAAGAAGTTTATGCCCTAGTTCAGGCTGAAGAGAGTAGAAGAAGTGTGATGAATTGTATAGAAGGGGAACCGGTTGCACTAGCTGTCCGAGGGGGTACAAGTTCAAATGTTTGAGGTTCTTTTAAAAAGGATGATTCATAGAAGAGAGTGGATGACAAAGACAAACTTTGGTGCACTCACTGTCAAAAGTCTAGGCACACTAGAGACACATATTGGGATCTTCATGGCAAGCCTAAGTGGGCTCAGGAATTGAGTAAGAAGTCTGATCCCAGTAAGAAGCCAACCCACAGAGTCAGAAGAAATATAACTCAGCAAATGTGGCATCTCAAGAGACTAGTCCCATGGTACCCCAGGAGCGACACTTTGGTTCTGACCCCAAGGAAGAGATCATCAACTCCTTTCACGACCACTTGGAATTATATGGTAGGACACTTCGCCAGATGGATTCTGGCCCTACTCCTTCTACCTCCTTTGCGTCTACATCAGGTAACACTGCCACCGCTTTCCATGTGTCATCTCATACATCTGATTCCCCTTGAATAATTGACTCTGGAGCCTCAAACCACATGATTGGCAAGTCATTTATTTCAGGCATATAACCTCCTCTCTGGGAGAGATAAGGTGAGACCGGCTTATGGGTCTTTTTCCACCATAGCCGCGGTCAAGGAACCATCTCCCTTCCTCTTGGTCTTACCCTCTATAATGTGTTGCATGTTCCTAAATTACCTACCAATTTACTTTCCATTAGCAGTATTACTCATTCCTTGAATTGTTCAGTGACCTTCTTTCTTTCATGTGTGTTTTAGGATTTGACCTCAAGGGAGACGATTGGTAGAGGAAGCATGGTGGATGGCCTCTACGTGTTGGAGAATAAAGCCGGTCTTGTGGCTACAGAGTCTTTAAGTTCATCTAGTGAGAGTCATGCCTAWTTATGGCATAATCGTCTTGGTCACCTTTCGTTTTGAGTCTTTAAAACTTTTGTTTCCTGAGTTATTTAAGTCTTTGTCAGTTAGTAAATTACAATGTCAGACGTGTCAATTGAGCAAACATTGTAGAAATTCTTTTCCTTTAAGAAATAAAAGATCTGAATTTCCTTTCCATATTATCTACTCTGATGTTTTTTTTTTTTGATAAATTATCTATTTATCTATTCTGATATTTGGGGCCCTATTTCTCTACCTATTGAAACTGGATATAAATATTTCATTACTTTGATTGATGACTACTCTAGATATACTTGGGTTTATCCTATACGATCTAGAGATGAAATGCCAAAGATTGTGAAGACTTTCAACAAAAGGTTTTCACTCAATTCCAAACTGAAATTCACATTTTCCAGTCGGACAATGCAAAAGAGTACTTCCATAGTGATGTCACAGAGTTCTTTGCTTCGTGTAGATCCCTTCATCGAAGCTCTTGTGCCAGGACACCTCAACAAAACAGTGTTGTTGAAAGAAAAAATCGTCATCATCTTGAAGTAGCTCGTGGTTTATTACTTCATATGAATGTTTCGAAACGCTTTTGGATGGATGTTGTTATGTGTGCTGCATATATCACCAACCGTATGCCATCTCGGTTACTAAAGTATAAGGCTCCACATCAACTTTTGTTTCCTACAGCTCTGTTGTTCCCCATTCCAATGCGTGTCTTTGGGTGTCGTTTCATTCATGACTCATCTCCTACTCACGGTAAACTCGATCCACGTGCCACTCCTTGTGTTTTTCTTGGTTATCCGTTATCTCAAAAGGGTTACCATTGCTATGACCCTGCTTCACGCAAGTACTATGTCTCCATGGATGTATCATTCTTTGAGAATCAACCTTTTTCCCCAGTTTCTCCTCAAGGGGAGAGTAGGGTTGAGGAGAAACACACTTACGTTCAACTACCTCCTCTTCCTGATCCTTCTCCATTTCGTGTCTTTCTTCGCCGCCATAAGAGCGAGTAGAGTTCAAGAGCCGTGGAACCTGAAACTATGCAACCAATATCATCGGACTCTCTAGAGGTAGATCTTCCTCATCAGCCAAGTACACTTATTCCCATTGATATGCCTAAACCTCTTAATATTGATTCCCCTTTTATTAATGATCTTAATGTTCCTATTGCTAAGAGAAAGGGTGTTAGATCTTGTACTACTAATCATCCTATCTCTCACTTTGTATCCTATGATCATATTTTACCTTCATACCGTGCATTCCTTTCCTCTATTGACAAYGTCTCTGTTCTTAAGAATGTGGCAGAAGCTTTATCCAAACCTGAATGGACAGATGCAATGAAGGAAGAAATTAATGCCTTACACAAAAATAGCACCTGGGAGTTGGTGGATCTTCCTGAAGGAAAGGAACCAGTGGGTTGCAAGTGGGTATTCACAGTAAAGCATAGAGCTAATGGTTCAGTAGAAAGGTACAAAGCTAGATTGATGGCCAAAGGGTTTACACAAGTGTATGGAGTAGACTATGCAGAGAACTTTGCTCCAGTAGCCAAGATGAATTCGATTAGAATCCTCCTTTCAATGGAAACTAACCTTGACTGGGAACTTCACCAATTGGGTATCAAAAATGCATTCTTGAATGGTGACCTAGAGGAGGTGGTTTACATGACTCAATCTCTAGGTTTCTGTGCCAAAGGTAGTGAGCAAAAGGTGTGCAGGTTAAAAAAATCATTATATGGGTTGAAGCAATCACCTCGGGCCTGGTTTAGTAGGTTTCATTTAGTTGTACAACAGATGGGATTCAAACAATGCCAGTCATATCATACTCTGTTTGTGAAGAAAGGTGAAGGGAAAATTGCAGCTTTAATTGTGTATGTTGACGACATAGTAATCACCGGAGATTGGAAGACTAAAATACAGAAACTGAAGAAATTCCTAGCCACTCAATTTGAGGTGAAAGATCTAGGCCCCTTACGTTATTTCCTTGGAATTGAAGTTGTCCACTCTAAAAAGGGCATCTTTATTTCCCAAAGGAAATATGTACTAGATCTATTAGAGGATACATGCAAGTTGGGAGTGAAACCAATTGATTCACCCATTGAACCCAACCATCAGCTAGGAGACAGTCAGGGGGAGTGTTTGAAAGATGTGAAGAAGTTCTAGAGACTTGTAGGGAGGCTCTTATATTTGTTTATGACCAGATCTGATATTGCCTATGCAGTGGGTGTCCTTAGTCAAGACATGCATAACCCTAAGACAACTCACTTTGAAGCTGTAGAAAGAATCCTTAGATACCTCAAGAAGTTCCCAGGAGCTGGTTTGCTATTCTAGAAACATGGGCATTTGAAAGGGGAGGTGTATACAGATGTTGGTTGGGCAGGGGCAATCGATGACAGAAAATCTACCAGTGGGTAATGTACCTTTGTGGGGGGAAACCTAGTCACCTGGAGAAGTAAGAAGCAAGGTGTGGTGGCTAGATCTAGTTCTAAAGCAGAATACAGAACCATGTCTCATGGAGTTGCTGAAATCATGTGGATAAAAAACTTGTTAGGAGAGCTGAGTTTTGCAGTTAACAAACCTATGTCACTCTACTGTGACAACAAAGCTGCTATCAATATTGTTGCTAACCCAGTCCTCCATGATAGAACAAAGCATATTGAAGTGGACAACCATTTTATTCGAGAAAAACTTGTGAGCGGAGAAGTGTGCACTCCATATGTCAGTTCAGAGGAACAACTTGCAGACATCTTCACCAAGGGCCTTCATCATGTGCGGCATAATAATTTGTGTGACAAGTTGGGCATGATCAACATCCACGTCCCAACTTGAGGGGGAGTGTTGGAATGTTAATTTTATTTCTTATGTTTGTATTCTGCTGAGTTAGGGTCCGTATGGACTAGTTAAAGTAGTTTTTTCTTTGTTTTTTTACTGTAACTTAAGAAGGGGCATAAGGGTCCTTTCCCTTTTAATTATGGTCGCCCTATATATATATTAATATAAACTGGCACCGCCAGCTATAGATGTTGACTCCAAAATACTCTCTTCTCTTCTCTCCTCTCTTCTCTCTTCTCTCTTTTCTCTTCTCTCTCCTCTCTTCTCTCTTCTCTCTTCTCTCTTCTCTCTTCTCTCTTCTCTTTTCTCTTCTCTCTTCTCTCTTCTCTCTTCTCTCTTCTCTCTTCTCTCTTCTCTCTTCTCTCTTCTCTCTTCTCTCTTCTCTCTTCTCTCTTCTCTCTTCTCTTCTCTCTTCTCTCTTCTCTCTTCTCTCTTCTCTCTTCTCTCCTCTCTTTCTCTTCTCTTCTTCTTCCTCTGTTCTCCTCTATTCGGCTGTTAATAACTAGAAACATAGCAGCAAGCCAGTTGGACAATCAATGAAACTGACCCTTTTTATTTCTGATGACAGTCCTGATAATGACACAAAACAAGGAGTGCACGCTTTTTCACACCCATCCTAAAAAAATGCTTCTTAGAAAAGTTATTTGAGAAAGAATTCTGATCATGAGATATGACTGAGGGTGGATCTAGATGTTAAATAATGGAACCTTCCTATGTAAACCATGACCATATTGTATAGATCAATGCTGATGCATTAACACTGTATCATTGTTTCTGTAAGACCTTCCCTTTTTTCACCGCACATATCCATCTTATCATTGAACAAAACTCTTGTGTCTTGTGCAAGTGTTCTTCATAATAAAACCCCTTTTGGTAATATGTCTAAAACAGTAATTGAACAAACCCTATCCCTTGGTCTTCCTCCTTATTCTTCGCCTTGTCTTCTTTACTTTCACTCTTCATATTGGCAAGGATAGATTACGATGTTAACAACCACAGTAGTGGCAGGCAAGCTCAACAACAGTGGTGAGGGATTTGGCCATTCACAGCAGCAGTAGGGGCAAGCAGGCGCAGCACCGCTGCAGTAGACCATGAGAAAGAAGAAACTTTTGCAGGCTTGCAGCTTTGCAATTCTCCAAGAATGGCAGCACCGCAGGTTGGCATGCAGTAGACCAAAAACCAAAGGTAACAACTCTATTTTGACATTCTGCAACAACAAACCAAGCTTTTTCCATTGTTGGTCTATTATGTGATAGGCATACGAATGGTTAGAATTGCAGAGGAAAGTTGCAGTCCATAACTGAAGCAAAAAAAACCATAGTAATCTGCAACTGCAACACAACCTAATTGTAGTCTTGTAGAGTCAGATACAACCGGGTCTTATTGGGTCAGACCCGATTATTCCAACTAATGGTTGGTCCGGTTCTGGGTCTGAAATTATAGACCCTAGAGGGTCAGGTTCGGGTTCAGAACATAATTTTTTCCCATTGGTTCAGGACGGTTCCAACCATCCCGAACCAGACCCGACCCATTGACAGCCCTGTTCAAACAGCCAATATTTGGAGTTCAGACAATTCAATTGACCTTCAGACACCATATTTATACAAAAAACCATGGGAAACTGGCAAGAGTGTACAAGGCAAACAACTATCAGTAAGATGACATGTAGATGTACAATTTGAATCACTATATTTAGAGACCCTACACTAACCAAAATGAATTTCTTACATATATGTAGACAAAAGAGGAGTAAGTAGCCATTTATCAGCCTCATGCGATGAAGCATTTTCTATTTCTGCCATCTCRAGAGAGTTTTCTATCATCTTATTTGACCATATGGTAATCAACTCAAACCCTGGACATAGTATAAAAAAATATAGAATGAAAAATGGGGATAAATTAAAAATAAGAAGATTCTAACAATCCTATCACCCCACATTGGCATTTAAAAAGAAAGCAAAGAAGAAAAGAAAGAAAGAAGGAAAGAAAGATAGAAATCCACCTAGAAAGTGTTACAGAAACAGCAGAGCTTTAGAAATCCATATATCTTGGTTTTTTAATCAAAAAGTTTAAACATCTTTTCCAGTAAAGTTAATATATTCTTTTTTATTCAAAAGTTTATATACTGAATACTTGAAGAAAAGTTCATACAATGATCTCACTAGTGTCGTCTAGAACTGAGGAGCAAGAATAAAATTACAGATAGTTCCGGAAAATACTTAAAGCAAAGGGTGTCTTCTGTCTTCAGCAATTTTCACTCCATAGGGCATATTAGCCAACATACAAGTTAGTCTGCATTGGATGGAAGTGATTGTAGGATACAATCTTGTTTCCTCAAAGAAAAATCCAAGTTATTGTGCAACTACTAAAATACACAAGATTGAATAAAGCCTTTGAAAGAAGGCATTAGAGTACAAGAAAGGTAAAACCTCAGATGCTAAATTAGCAGTTTAAGTTACCTTTTACAGGATCTTCTGCAGAATACCACTCACTCCAAGGGCAATCATCATCCCACTGTGTTTTACTACGGGTGTCACCAGAAGGATCTCCAGTTTCTGTAATTTCAGGTTCACCTCCATGTAAATCATCATCATCATCATGAGGAGGTGTTCTGTAGGTTAGCTTCATCGTGAAATGTACTTTAAAAAGATGCATTGATAAGTCCATTGTGGAGAAAGCCTTCAAATTAAACAGAAGTATTAGTTCTCCTAAAATGGATCGGATGAAGCTACATGCAGACAAAAAATCATTCACTAGAAGCCAGTTAAATATGGAAATGGATAAATTTCTACAGATACTGAAAACACAGAATCATGTTCCACATATATATACAAAATAGATGGAAAGAAGGCTGCCTACTCCTTTTATTAGAGTTCATTGATCTTTTCAGTTTTTGTAAGGTCCTCCAGACCTTTCACTGTTTTATCATGAGCTGGAGAGACTCATTTATAGATTTTTAGAGTTGTAAGGCTTTTACATACCCCCTCCTGGGCCTTTTACTCTTATTATTAATAAAATTTACAGTGGGTTTAAAGGGGGGGAGCCAGAACTGAGTGGAGAAATTAAGAGATCAAAAAACAATAAAAGAAAGAATGCAAGGTAATAGATGAAAATGATAAAAAGCTTTAAATCTAGATGTTTGCCGAACTGAACCTGTTGAGAGAGCTGAGAAGAAGAAGAAGAAGAAGAAGAAGAAGAAGAAGAAGAAGAGAGGAGAGTCTGATGTGTTCAAATGGGCACTGTTCATCAGCCAGCCCTGTTCACTAATATAAGAGCAATACATAATTTACATGAAGGACCAGGATGCCCCTGATTAGTGATGGGCCACCCAGTCTAATAAAACACAAGATACAATTAGGCCCAGTTACTAAGGCCCATTAACTAGAGACTCTAATACCCAGCCCAGACAAGAGAATAACAACATATCAGCCGAACGAACACTCCCCCTCAAGCTAAGCATGGATGTCAATCATGTTTAGCTTGCCCAGTAAGTCCAAAAATTTCACTGTGGTTAGCCCTTT